GCAATAATCTTATCAAATTTAATAAAATTTTTTTATTTTAATTCTATATAATTTCAAGATTAAAATAAAAAAATTTTGAGCAAATTTGATTAAATAATTGTTGAGATATTTTAATTTAAAAATTAAAAAAATTTCACTAAAAATGATTTGTCTCTTTTCTATTGACTCACTCTATATATATATATTTTTTTCTTAGAGTTTTTTTTTTTTTGTATTATTCTTATTTGACTTTTTATATTAAAATGTTTCTCCCATACACTTTATTCTAATTAAATATTTTTCTTTTTATAGATTAGTCTGATGATCTTTATATTTCTTAATTAACCCAGTACTAATTGGGGTCAATAGAACTTGCTCTTCTATGGTATGCAACTTTACTACATTCCTGCTAAAAATCTGATGAACAAAGTAGAGTCCCTTTTATTTTGGCTCTAATTTTATATTTTGGCTATATTGTTAATCTGCACAAAATACTAATACTTTATCATCAATAATAAATTTGAAAATTTTTTAAATTTTTCTATTGTGAAGCTGTTTTTGTCTCTGCTATATTTTTTGTACTTGTGTAATAGTGGCTTGACAAATTATTGACAATGTTTTAATTAAACCTCAAACTCTTTAACCTATATTTTTCTAGTCACATCTCTATTTTCTATTGATTGAATAGGCTGTCTAGCATAACAGCTATATATTAGGTAAAATGGCATGATTCTCATTGTAGAATGCCTTGAAATAAACAATATGAAGAAAATAATTATATCCCAATTCACAATATTTTTAACACTTTTGGCAATCAACTCTCATAGTGTTCAATTGAATTATTCCACCAGCCCATTAGTCTGAGAATAGTAAGGTATCAAAAAAATATGCTTAGTCTGGAACTTTTTCAGAAATTTCTAAACTAGCTTATTGTAAAAATGAGTTCCATGATCAGACAAGATGATTTCAGGGCATCTATATAACAAATTATTTTATTATACAAGAAGTTACAAACTTCTTAAGCATTGGCTGTCCCAATGGCCTTAGCCTCTAAATATTTGGTTATATAGTTTGTGGCTACAACTATATATTAGTTAGACCAGGTTGTTATGGATAGTGGCCCTACCTACAATGTCTATACCTATTTGAAAAAATAGTGCCATTACTAGTATAGGGTGTAGAGGAGTAACAGACTTGGGCTTTTCTCTTTATTGATATTAATTATAGGACTTAATATAAGCCCTGATTCATTCATAGAACTGTGGCCAATAGTAAAGCTATCTTATTTTTTTGAACATGCTTTCTATTTCTAAATGTTCACCCAATAGATGATTGTAAATCAAAAATTAATACTGGCTCCATCTTATAGACTTGAATCATTCTTAATGGCCTATTAGAGTTTTTGCTATTGTTTCAAAATATGATACTATTTTTAAAAACAAATAGTCTACTTGAATTTATAAACCTTGCCTTGTCCTTTTTTGACAATTAAAAATTTATATATTTGTCTTGAAGATACTATTTCAGTTAATTATACCTTTCTGAATTCATATTGTAATGCTTTGATACCAGAATGCTGACTATCTGAACAGGGTTTTGTTTATGATCAAATTTAAAATATCAAGAGATTCTTTAGAGAAGATTCTTCTTATAGTTTGTTTCACTATAGAAAATATTTATAATTCTTAATTTTTGATAAGACTTTGTATGAAAATACTTGTGACACTATTATTAACAATGTGGGTGTATTCTTAGTTTTTGCTGTCCCTAATCTCAATTAAAGAGTAACAGAAAATCTACTTCTAGCAGTCAAATATTTTCATTCAACTAATGTTTGGGTTGTTTAATAAACTTCTGTCCAATTTTCAAATATTCAAAAACTCTATCTCAAAAGATTTTTGATAACAAAAAATCGCCTTGGACTATTATTAATACTACAATAGGTAATTCTAGGTATGTCTTCTAAAAAAAATGTTATTAATTATTTTTTTCATTATAATCTTTCTTTATTCACATTGATTTCTTATAATAGATCAGTAATTGGTCCTTATTTGATACAATTCTCTTTGATTATTTGCTCAAGTAAATAGGGCCCCAACTTGCCCTACTCCATTCTAACTATTCTTACTATTGTTAGGTCTGAAAAATACATATTAAACAAATTTTTGGTAAAAGAAAAAACTATTTTTACAATGTTATCAAAGATGACTAACTATGGGATAGCTATGAGATAAGTATAATATCTTGAAATAAAATTTATATATATATTTTTTATTTTTTATCATATGATTTTGAGAATATTAATGTCCATAAAGTCATATGATATAAATTAATAATAATAATAAAAAGATATTTGCTAATATTATATTAATCTATCTCAACTTCTATAGATAAAATAAAAGCACCACCCTTATCAATAATCTTATGTTTATACCCAGGGTCAATACTGATTTGCAAAATTAAGAGTTGTTGGCTTCACTTTGCTATACTACTTCTTGCATTCAATTTTACAAGGCCACAAGGTCATTAGGATTATTTGCTATCAAGAAATAGCTACAAAATTAACTCGGTATATAGCTTCTCCCAGATTAAGTTTTCTGGCCACTATATGATTATTGAGTGTAAGATGATTATATAAGAAGAATTTATTTTTGAAACATTTGCAAAGATCAATTTTTGTCACCTCCTGGGTATCAATTTGTTGAAAAGGAATATAGAGATATATATAGACATATCAATATTCATAGCCTTTTTAGCTTTTTCAATATCAAATCCTTTTATTTTGGTATTAGTATAGGAACTTCAGACCCATCTTCCAGCCAGCAGATGAATTCATTTATTACTTTCTCTTCTTGTTTTACCTGGTTAGCAAGATTTTTTATAGTCCCTTCAGCTGTGGTTTTTCTTCTGAAGTGGTGTTACTTATAAAGCCACTGTTTAATATAATGTCTACTTGGAACTCTTTGTCATCTGAACTTTTCCATTGTAAGAAAGAAGAATACTCTGAGTCAGATGACTCTCCAATATTCATATGTTTGGAGCCCTTTTCTTTCTCTGAGTCTTCTGTAATTTCTTTGACATGAATAGCCATGAAACAACTTTTTGGGCTTTCTAATTCATCTGAGTTGTGTTAGGCAAAAATCTCTTTTCATCTTGAATAGCTACAACATTATTCGCTAAGTAAATCTTATCTTGGAAGAGAGATATTACATCAACCTCTTGTTTATGTTCCCACTATTGATGAGCAATATCGGTATAGCCAGACCAAAGTAATCTTCAGCCTGATTCTATTTCGTAGTCCCTTAGTAATTGCCCATACCATTGCTCCCTTTTATTCATATTAACTACCTTACTTTTATCTGCTTCCCAAGTATCCCATCCTTGATTATTCATCTTTGTTCCCTTCATAATTCATTTTTTCTTCACTATTTTCATTATCAAAATCCTCTTCACTATATTTAACTCAAGTTGAATAGTCTTCTTCTTTTTCATCTTCACTTTTGTTGCTTATATACATTACCTCAATTTTATAGCCTCTTATGGTTGATTTTCTTTTTTCTCACTATCTACTTCTAGAAAGTGAGATAAGGTATTAACATTTAAATGTACTTGTTCACTTTTATGCTTAATTTTATAATGATAAAGCTGTAGCCGTAGAATCTATCTTGCCCTTTTACCTTTCAATTTGGATGTTTCCAGCCACTTGAGAGCTGAATAGTTAGTAGCTACTACAAAAGGTTTAATATCCAAGTAGTGGTGAAAGTACTCAATACTCAAATCACTGCCAGGTATTCTAATTCGGTACCGTAGTGCACTGACCAAAGTACCCGGTGTTTACATAGTGAAAAATTAAAGATCACGTGTATTACACAATTGTCACATCACATGCCACATATAAATAATATTTTAAAAAATCAATCTACATTATTTGTCACGCCGGGGACTTCACTACGGTATTTTGTTTTGGCAAACTAATTAATTACAACTGTATAAATAAAGAACGATAGCCAAAGTCGAATATCGTTATTAATAAAATAACACCTTTAACATTCCAAGATTTTTGTTATTAATATATAATTTACTGCAGATATTATTTTATGATATTATTTTATACTTGTAAATTTATTATAAAAAACAGTTAAATATATAATAAATTAATATTTATAACTTATATTATAATATATATTATAAAGGTTTACATTAATTAAATAAATAAATTATCAATTATAAATGCAGCATCATCATCAATGTGATCTATACTTTCATTCAATGGCTTAGTAAGATTTAAAAAAGCCAACACTTGATCTGTATTAATAATTTGCTTATTTGTCCGATAAGTTTGTTTCTGATAATAAGCCGACGAATGCTTAATTGATTTAATTTGTTTAAATAAATCAGCTTTATCATCACATTTTATTAGCGCGGCATTTAAATTCCTTTCAAGTTCCAGAAAAGATCGAGGAACTTTATATCCGCTTGTTTCAACTTGTTTATATAATTCAGTTTTTTCATTTTTTAAGTCCCGTTCATATTTTTCTAGCATGTTTACTAATTCTTCAGCGGTTGGCCGATTCTGAAGCTTTGCATCTAGACATTTATTCATTAAATCTAGAAACAATTTAGGAACATTACCAATGATTTCTGGTCTATGACCTAGACAAATATTGGCGCATCATTATCATGCGAAATACCATGATATGCCTCACATCCGGTAAAAATTTCTGACATTACTATGCCGAATGAGTAAATATCAGATGATTTAGTATATGGATTTCCGACTAAAACTTCTGGATCTATATATGACAGTATTCCACAAATTTTATCATATTCCATCGTTGACTCAGTTAATATTGAAAGTCCTAAATCAGCAATGTATGCGCTATGCAAGCTATTTTGAAAAATGTTACCACTGTGCAGATCTCGGTGAATAATATTTTTGAATGAATAACTTTAAGGTCAGAAGCAATGCAAAGTAAAAGCGTTAATTTGTCTTTCCATTCCATCTCTCCTATATAGGGTAGATTTTCACGCAAGCTCCCGATTGGTGCATATCTCATAACAAGTATATATTCTTTTGAAATATTATTTTTCGATATCCCGTAACATTCTAAAAATGATGGATAATCATAGCTGATTTCGCCGAACACTTTGAACTTTAATATTAAGATATTGTTAACTTTTGAATATGTAAACTTTAAAAAGACGTTAAGTTAAAATTACCTCTTTTATAAACTCTTCATAATATTTTCCAGATCTATGCAAAAATTTAAGCGCAACTGGTACGTCAACTTCCCGAAGTTTATTAATCCATTTAGCGCTAAATACTGTTGCAAAGCCGCCTTGTCCTATTTCTTCAATAATTTCAAGTTCATTATAAGGAATCCACGATAGTTTATTTTCGAGTAATATTTTCTTTAAATTGTTATCGAGATCAGAATTTTCAAGTTCATTTATAGCTTTATAGGTTTAGAAATTAGATGGTGAGATTATTCGTACAAATTTAAATTATTAAAATTACCTAATAGTTTGCCTCTTTCCCTATTCAATAGAATAAAAAAAATTTGTAGATATACATTATTTGTAAAATTAAATAAATTTTTGGACATATTTACTCACTTTCGATACCAATCATTAGCTTTTTGTAAGTCCCTGGTTACACCAATACCATTTCGATAACAATCAGCAGCTTCAGATATTCCAACAATAAAGCCCAACTCAGCAGACTTGAGAACGTGGATAAATGCCTCATCTTCATTTTTTTCGACACCAAGTCCAATTCGATAGCAAACACTGACCATGAATGTTCCTTTAGCATGACCCATCTCAGCAGATTTTTGATAATAATTGAATGCCTGATGTTCATCCTTTTCAATCCCAGTTCCATGTTTATAACAACGACCGACATTATATATTCCACTAACATTACCCATATCAGCAGATTTTTGATAATAAGTGAACGCCTTATATTCATCCTTTTCGACTCCAATTCCTTCCTTATAACAGTTACCAAGTGCAAGTGTTCCACTAGCGTCACTCATCTCTGCAGATTTTTGATAACAAATAAATGCCTTATGCTCATCCTTTTCAACACCAATTCCATTATCATAACAATATCCAACCATATATGCTCCACTAGCGTGCCCCATCTTTGCAGATTTTTGATAATAAATGAATGCCTTATGATCATCCTTTTCAACTCCAATTCCATTACGATAACAAAGTCCAACATTATATGTTCCATGAACGTCCCCCATCTCTGCAGATTTTTGATAATAAATGAACGCTTTATATTTATCTTTTTCAACTCAAATTCCATTCTCGTAACAAAGGCCAAGTTCAGTCTGCAGTGATATGCCCCATATCTGCAGATTTCCGAAAATAATTGAATGCCTTTAACATGTCTTTTTCAACTCCAACTCCGTCTCTATAACAACAACCTAAACCAAATATTCCAACATGGCTTCCCATATTTGCAGACATTTGAACATAATTGAATGCCTTATCTTCATTTTTTTCCACACCAATTCCGTATCTATAACAATAGCCGAGATTATACATTCCTATAGCTTGCCCCATTTCTGCTAATTTTTGATAACAAATGAATGCTTTATGTTCATTCTTTTCAACTCCAATTCCGTACCGATAGCAATATCCAACATTAGCTATTCCATCAACATGACCCATTTCTGCAGATTTTTGATAATAAATGAATGCCTTATGTTCATCCTTTTCAACTCCAATTCCATTATGATAACAATATCCAACTTGGAATGTTCCATTAGCGACACCCATCTATGCAGACTTTTGATAATAAATGAATGCCTTATGTTCATCCTTTTCGACTCCAATTCCATTATGATAACATTATATGTTCCACTAGCGTCACCCATCTCTGCAGATTTTTGATAATTAATGAAAGTCTTATGTTCATCCTTTTCATCGCCAATTCCATTCTTATAATAGATACCAAGTAATAATATTCCAATAGCATTCCCCATCTCAGCAGATTTTTGCAGATAAATGAAAGCTTTATGTTCATCCTTTTCAACCCCAATTCCCTCTAGATACCAAAATCCAACCATAAATGTTCCATCAGCATTCCCCATCTCTGCAGATTTTTGAAAATAAATGAACGCTTTATGTTCATCCTTTTCAACTCCAATTCCATTTTGATAACAATATCCAACATTAAATATTCCACCAGCGTCCCCCATCTCTGCAGATTTTTGAAAATAAATGAAAGCCTTATCTTCATCCTTTTCAACTCCAATTCCTTCCTTATAACAGTTACCAAGTGCAAGTGTTCCACTAGCGTCACTCATCTCTGCAGATTTTTGAAAATAAATGAAAGCCTTATGTTCATCCTTTTCAACTCCAATTCCTTGATGATAACAATATCCAACATTATATGTTCCACCAGCGTAACCCATCTCTGCAGATTTTTGATAATAAATGAAAGCCTTATGTTCATCCTTTTCAACTCCAATTCCATTTCGAAAACAATATCCAACCTTACATGTTCCAATATTGTACCCCATCTCTGCAGACTTTTTATAATAAATGAAGGCCTGATGTTCATCCTTTTCAACTCCAATTCCTTTAACATAGCAATATCCAACATTATATGTTCCGCTAGCGTCACCCATCTCTGCAGACTTTTGATAATAAATGAATGCCTTATGTTCATCCTTTTCAACTCCAATTCCATTCCGATAACAATATCCAACATTAAATGTTCCATTAGCATTACCCATCTCTGCAGATTTTTGATAATAAGTGAATGCCTTATATTCATCCTTTTCAACTCCAATTCCATTCATATAATAGTTACCAAGTGCAGATATTCCACCAGCGTCACCCATCTCTGCAGATTTTTGAAAATAAATGAATGCCTTATGTTCATCCTTTTCAACTCCAATTCCATTCCGATAACAATATCCAACATTATACGTTCCATCTGCGAAACCCATCTCTGCAGATTTTTGATAATAAATGAATGCCTTGTGTTCATCTTTTTCAACTCCAATCCCATGAATATAACAGCTACCAAGTGCAAATATTCCACTAGTGTCACCCATCTCTGCAGATTTTTGATAATAAATGAATGCCTTATGTTCATCCTTTTCAACCCATTTACCAAAAAGATAGCAACTTGCAAGAATGTAATTAATCATAGGATTGGTTTCATCATTTAAGCAAAAATTGATAATATTATTTGGATTTTGGTTCTTCTTTATTAAAATTGGTCTAATGTATCAAGAATTGAACGAGTTTGTTTGCCTTTCGATCTTTCTTCATTATAAATATTATACATTTCCTTAACAATTTTATTTAGAAAATTCTGTGAAAAATCCTGTAAATTATTATCATCTAAATTGAATTGAGTAACATAG